GTCCCCCTGCTTTGAAAGTGAGGAGGTGGAATAAAGCCCTTAGGTACAGGGTTTGACACACACATACACACATACATACATACTTACATTACATTACATTACATTACAATACATTACAGTACAGTACATTACATTACATTACTATACATTACATTAATGCATGCATACATACATACATACATACATACATACATTAAAAGCCTTTAGAAAAATACATACATACATACATGCATACATCCATGCATCCATGGCTCAAGCCTTTTGAGGTCTCAACCTGGTCCCATACAAAGTCCAGGCACAGGACACAAGCCATTGGAGCCGAGCCCCGTCTTCCAAGAGGGCACTGGACTTCATTGCCCGTGATCCTCGACTCCAACTTCGACATTTCTGTTGAGACCTTTGGCACCTGGCAAGTTTCTCGCCCTGCAAAAGGCCTTTGATAACTTGCGGTACGAGCACAGCCTCAGGGACATTGTGCACTACCACTTTGCCCGTGATCCCTACATCCCTGAAGAAGCCTTTGGCCAGATCGCGATCGGGGCAGTGATCATGGACTGGTGCAGGGCCGAGACCCCTTGCAGCAAGGCCACATGCAACAACTGGATATGGCAGGACAAGATGTATCCTGGCACCAGGTGTAGACGCTGTGGCACTATGTGGACGACAGCAAGCACTACCACAGGAAAGGGTAAAGGCTATGGCAAGCCTGCTGGCAAGCTCATCAAGGCTCCACGCTCCTGGCCCGAAGCTCCTCCCGGTTTGCCAAAGGTCAAGCCACTCAAGAAGACTAAGGTTCAACAAGAGGCCACTGAACTTTTGGCATCCACTTGGACCACTCTGAATGAGGACACTCAGCATCGCTTGCAGGCCATCGGCATTGGCCCCACCAAGCCAGATGAACCAGAGCTCAAGGATGTGCTCAAGTCACACATGGAGGCACTTCCTCAACCAGTTCAAGACCTGGTCAATAAATTGACCACCCCTGAGCCCTGTACTGAACGTGAAATTGCTGCCAAGCTCAAGGGTCGTGTGACGGAGCTCAAGAATCTTTCCATGAGAAAGACCCAACTCCAGGCCAAGATCGACAATGTCAAAGCTCAATATACAGCTTTGTTGACTGACATGCAGGAGCTCCAGGCCAAGCTTACCGAGGGTCAGCAGTCACTCAAGACGCTCTCGGATGACTACATGAAGGCGGTCAATCAGACCCCAACTCCTTCTGAACTGCCGACGGCCCATGGCGAAGCTGAACAGATTCCCATGGCGGTTGAATCCTTTGTCCATAGCTTGGGCATTTCTTTGACAGACGAGCAGAAGACTCAGCTGCATGGTCTCCTCAAGCGACCCAACAATGAGCAGGAGGACCCCACCAAGCGGCGGAAAACCGACACGCCACCTCTTGGGAAATCTGGACAGTGTGGGTAACATGAGCTCACTCATGTTTCAGGGGTGGACTTTCCCGGTTCCGGAAGATGACCTCATGTCATGTGAAGGCCACGAAAGTCCGAGTTTGACACCATCCAGTGATGCTTTCAATTTTGTTGCGGATCGGCCTTTGACAGTGCAATCACCAACAACACCGGTTTGCCGTGCTGTCACAGGCTCAGAGACGCTTATGGGGTTTTCAGCGTTGAGTGCAGGGGCAAATGCACTACAACCAGCTGAGCAATACAACAGACAGAGCTTTCCTACCTTGAGCAACAAAGATTCCACTCTTGGTAGACCTGCGCAACAGACCAGTTTTGAGCAACAACGACAGACAAACATTTCTCAGAGCACTCTCACTCCTCGGGCGCCTGATGGTTTGAACTATCTCTCCATTTTGGGAGGAGCACCTACTGGCACCTGGACAACACAGAGTCAGACCACGGTGGCATCAAACATGCAGAACTATGCCACATCCACCGATTGCATCCTCCAAAACCTCACCATGGTGGTTGGCAATCCAAGCCTCCGGTGTTTTGCTAATGCACCTTGGAGAGCTTTCACTTGGGTGTGCGCTTTGCTCCAAGAATCCAGCACCCAACCATGGGGCACAATCCAGGAGGCCGTCCAAGAGTCCATTGACACCGCCGAGCCAGTGGATCTGCAGGCCTTGCCAGGCTTGAGAGACCTATGGAAGCAACATGATCTGAACACTCAAGGCGATGCAAATCATTTTGTCAACTCTCTGTGGCTCCAGTCCCAAAGCAGAGCCTTTCACTATCGCTTCGCAGAAATCCGGGAAGGAGGATACCTCACAGATCATGTGCAGCAGCCCATCTTGGTGCCCTTTCCCGATGATTGGCCTGACAATGTGACCTTCCAACAATTGATGAACAATTGGGCCAATCAGGGCATGGGGCAATACTTGCTGGACGACAAGAAGATATTGGTTTGCCATGTCACCAGGAATACCTGCATTGACGGTGAAATGACGAAGCATCAAAAACCCTTCAATCCATATGGCACCTTCACTGTGCCACGGTCGTTGGATGGCTTTTCTCGCACATCCACCGAATTTGTCCCGGCAGTCCTGATATGCCACAAGGGCAGGACCCACCAGGAAGGCCACTATTTTGCTATCCTGATCTACAGGGACCTCATGTGGATCGCAGATGATGGAAAGGTTCCACAGCACCTGCCACACTTGACACCGGCCCTGGCCAGTCAAATCACCCAAGTATGGGCAGTCAACATCGATTGCTTTAAGACTCCACAACAAGTCCTGCACGGGCTACCGCCAACAGAAGAGCCGGATTTTGATCCTCCACTGCACCCCAGTCCAGTGAAACGGGCCAGATATGCGCAGGATCACAACTCCCTATACTATGCCAATGTCACAAACCTGGGCAAACAAGTCATTGAATGGTACTGGACTCGTGACAGTGGCATCTACATCTTTGTAGAGACCCACTTGGACCCTCAAAAACATTGGGAGCTCAGCCAGTATTTCAGCATCCGTGGCCGCACAGTCTTTGGCACACCTGCGGAACCGAACCAGGAGCAAACAGGCACTCATGGAGGCATCATGGTTATCGCTGATCCAGCCTGTGGCCTCACGCCATTCCAGTCTTACACCAACAAAGGCTGCGGCTATCAAAGTTTTCTCTGGCAAGCCACTGAAACCACCATTCTGGTTGTTGGCCTTTACTTGAGGACCGGGGAGACCTTTCAAAGTGACATCAACTCGGACATCCTGGCCCAATTGCTGTCACTGCTGACCCAAACCACACATCCCTATGTGCTCATTGGAGATTGGCAGAATCCACCTAGTGCCTTGGCCAGTACTGTCCTGTCATCCAAATTTCACTTTGGCATTTTGGCACCAGATCACAGTGTACTGTCTGGCAACACCGTCGACTATGCGGTACTCCACAACTCTCTTGCAGGCACCACCTCGCTCCAAGCACATTGGGCAGTTCCTTGGAGACCACATGCACTGCTCCAATTGACTTTTGACATTGAAGCTGCAACCATGGAGTATCGCCAGATGCCATACTTCCCGCCCATGCCCAAGGTGCCTGACATAGATTTTCGACCGTGGACCACTTACCAATCCCAGGCAAACAGCCTAGACCTGTACGGCCTTCCTCCCAATGAAGCGGCTCAGGCATGGGCAGATTGGTTGTCCAAAACAGAGCAATACCTCCTCCAGGAAAACCCGTGGGCAGCTCAAGGCCGTGGCCATCATTTGCAAGCAGTCACAAAGCCATTGATGCTCCAGCCAAAAGGGCACACCTGGCGCAAAGGGCGCCCAGCCTTTTGGGATCAGATCATGGCTGTCTTCCACCTGGCCTTACAACTGCCCCCGGATGTTCAATCTGGCCCCATCCGGGGTTTTCATCAGCGACTGCTGAAAGTGCCACAACAATGGATTGGTGCACCTACATGGAGCCAGTTTCTGGACACATGCCATCATTGGATCAGATACCGCGATCCACATGCGGCCGAGTTGATCCTGCAAACCATGACACATCAACTTCAGGAAGCACAACAGCATGCTCAGGAAGAAAGCACTTTGCAGTATCGCCAATGGCTTCAGGAGGGCCATCAAAAGGGCCTTCGAGGGCTCTTCCGCAGCTTGAAGAGCAGCGAATTAGCCTGGGAACGGCCGTATCGCATGACACCAATGCCGCAAAGAATGAATCAGAGACTTGCTGACTGGGGTGGGCTTTGGAAGATTCGTCAGGACAACGATCCCGCACCGAGACCCGACCTCAGGCTCCCGGCTCAAAGGCAAGCCCAGACACTGGAACCCATCACACCAGGACAACTCCAACGAGCCCTCAAGGCCATGCCAGAGCGAGCCAGCGGACCAGATGCAGTTTCAGTTCAAATGCTCAAGGCAACACCTCCATTGGCTTTGACACCCTTACTGCAGCTTTTGCACCAGATGGAGAGGATGGCTGAACTTCCAACCCAACTGCAGATGCATCTTGTGGTCATGCTGCCCAAGAACCAAAAGCTCGAGCGGCCAATCACCCTCACATCCACACTGTGGAGATTGTGGTGCAGGCTCCGGAAACCACTGCTGGACCAATGGCAGAGGCTGCTGCCTGAAACCATGAGCCATGACAAGGCAAGACCAGGGGCCAATGTCCTCCATGTGGCTTTGGCCAGACTCCTCCGCCAAGAGGTCACGAAGGCCAGACAGAAGCATGGCATCACTGTCCTCATGGACATGTCCACCTTTTATGACACCATCAACCTATGCCGCCTGCAGGAAGAGGCCATTCGCTTGGACTACCCACCACTCATGTTGGAATTGGCCATGCAGCTTTACTGCGGACCCAAAGCCATCCTGGCTGAGCAAGAGCTGACTCCATTCTTCCATGTGGACCATGGTGTACCAGCGGGCTGCCCTCAAGCACCACTACTGGCGAAAGCAGTGCTGGCACCAGCCCTCATCCCATGGAAAGACAGCCACCCAACAGCACACCTGTCCAGCTGGGTTGACGATGTCGGCTTTGATCTTGAAGCAAGCACGGCCCTACAAGTGGCACAACAAGCTGTTGCAGCGTGTCGTGACCTGCACAACAGACTCACGGCACTTGGGCTCAAGGTCAATCCCAAGAAAACGGCCTTCATTGCCACAGACCGAACAACGGAGCAAGCCCTCAAAGGACTCCTGGCAGACCATGAACCACCAGTTTCCTCGGTCATGAGGGACTTGGGCATTGACCATCAAGCTGCCAGAAGAAGACGCATTCCCGTCATGCGACAACGCTTCCAGAAAGCCAAGCAGAGACGAGTCAAGTTGAGAACACTCAAACTTCCTGCCCTCAAGGTTCGTCTGCGCCTCCACAGAGGGGGCATCCAACCAGTGGCTTTATGGGGAGTTGAATCCCAAGGTCTGGCACCCAGATACCGAATTGCCCTTCGCCAAGCATTGGCCACCCATCTTGGTCATCACGCAGGAGGTTTGCTCGACATCACCTATGACCTCCACAGCCGCAAATACCTTGATCCGGCTGATCAAGTCATCCTGCATCACATCAAGGCCATGCACACCCTTTACCACACATGGCCAACGGAGCAGCTACCACACCTCCAGCAAGCCTGGGCTACTTTGCACGCGCAACTCCAGGCCAAGCAGCATCCATGGTATGTGGTCAAAGGACCCATGGCAGCCACCCTTGCTTATCTCCTGGAATGGCAATGGCAGGCTCAGGATCTTCAACGATGGCACAGGACTGGACATCCACTGCTTTTGGACCAAGAGCTCACGCTCCAAGATCCGTGGTGGAAACTTGAACGAGCGTTGAAGAGGGAGGCCAAAGCACAGCGCATCTCCAGACTGGCAAGTCGACCACATCACCAACATCTGGTGACAGGCCTTGACTGGCATGTCTACGGACAGGTGATGAGAACCATCCCAGGGGAACACAAACCTCACTTGCGCACCTGGACACAAGCTGCTCTTCACTACAAAGAAGGTGGTCAGGTCAAAGATTGCCCTATTTGCAAGGTTCCAGCAACAGTGAAGCACATTTTGTGGCTCTGTAAATGGCACCACACGCAGAAACACCAGCCTATGCCGGCAGAGTGGGCTGAACGCATTTTGTCGGACGATGAGACACCTTTGTGGACTGCAGGCTGGATACCATTAGAACCACAAGAAGCCAGAGACATGCCACAACCCTACCAGGGACATGGAGCATGGCAAGGCCTTCAACAACTGGCTCCACATCCCCATCAAGGCTGGGCGTTTACGCTAGATGCCACACCATCCAGTTACGACCAACGTGATCAGCTTTGGATCTTTGGTCTGTGCGCACACACCATGACCTTGGGGCAGCTGCAACGACTGGCAGCCATCACTGGAGCACCACCAGCCCCACATACAAAAGCCAGGGCACTCATGGAAGGGCTTGTGGCACTGGCAAAACACACCACCACTCAGGTCCGGGTCATTGTCCAGCTCATCAGTGTGTGGGAGGCATGGACTCAAGAGCGGCATCGAGGCCCCTTTCTTGACCAGCTCGAGCAACTCACCGAGTCAGGTTACAACAGAGTCACTGTGCTCTATGTACCTAGGAATACCAAATCCCCACAGGCCCCTGGCAGTGAACCTCAACTCCGACGGAGACAAAGGGATGCAGCACTGACGGCATGGGAAAGGGCCAAAACCTTTCAAAACAGCAGGAGCACAGACTGGCAGAAAGTCCTTGATGAGGATCACAAGCTCATCTACCGACATGCCATCAACCGCCTGGCCTTGATCTACAGCACCAAGGACCACTACATCCATCAGAAAGGCCATCGGCACCAGGCCAAGAACACCAAGCAATACAAAAAGCAGCTCATCAGCCAATGCAGGCAACCATGGCAGTCTCCGCAACACAGATGGCTACCGCACAGGAGTGGCTATCAGTGTGCCAATTGTGGCCTCAGAGTGCACCAGGGCCTCACGGTGCAGGTGATAGAAGAACATCTCCAAGCTGCATGTTCCCAGACCAGCCTTGCAGCCAGCACTACAGCACCAGCCCAGGATCACCAACCCATGGCCAAAAAGCAGACCCGACAACAAGTCATCAAGCAAATCCTGCAAACCCAGAACGAGCAGGGATCAGGCAAGCAGCAGCATCAGCTAGAAGAGACCACTGGTTACCTGCGATGCTGCAAGTGTGGAGCAAACATCCATAAAAGAAGTAATGAACAGCTCTTCCAAGACTTCGTCAAGGGACCATGCCTGGACCAGCCATATGAGGCGACACATGAAGGACACAGCACTCATGTGCTTTGGCAAAAGGGCAACCGAGTCAACTGCACGCAGTGCGGGCTGAGCCTTCACCTTGATGCTCAACAAAGGCTCATTCTCACAACGGCCTTCAAAAAGCCCTGCAAAGGGGCCGGCACTACTGGCTCCCCACCTCTTGAAGAGTACTTTCGCAAGCAAGCCACCCAGGCATCAAGCTCCAGCCCTGACACCTCAAGTGACCAGGGTACACATAGCCAGCAACAGCCAGCAGCATCTGACAGGCACTCTGCCACCAGACTCTCACGGCGAGATATGGCTGCAATGCCACTTCAAGATGCAAGACCCACGCCTCGCCGGCTGCATTTCACCACGCTGCTGGATCAGAGGGACCCAGGCACACTGGCACAGCAGACGGCATCGGCTATGACACCCAGTCTGCCAGTTCCTTGGACTAGCTCAACACACCAGCATATGCCAGACCAGGGAGGCAGTGGGGACGAGGAGGCGGCAACCAGCACCTTCGTGGTCGACTACTTCTGAAGGGCCGCACTGAGGCACACGTCCTAGAAGACCAGCCACAAGAGCACCCGCACAACACTCTAGAAGAAAAAAAATCCATGCATCCATGCATCCATGCATCCATGCATCCATGCATCCATGCATGCATCCATGCATCCATGCATCCATGCATCCATACATACATACATACATACATACATGCATGCATACATACATACATACATACATACATACATACATACATACATACAT